ATTAGTTTGTAATAAATGAACACTGAAAATCTAATGTGACACCAATACATGTATTGTTTCCCACAGTTCCTCATTCCTACCGGAATCTTATCTCATGCACACAGACCAGCTGTCTTTGAAGTGACCCTATTTATTGGATTATTACTGTATGCTGCTTCTATGCAAGGAATTAGTCAATCATCCATTTGAATGCACACAACAATTTATCATGCTTGTCTTATCAAGAGTATGACATGTTTTTTAAAATGATTCTCAAATCAAATGTAGTTGAAACAGGTGAGGCAGTAACATGCTGGAATGAATGTGGAAATGGAAAACTGATAGCAACCCATGATTACCAGCACAAATGAACAATTGCAATTTTCCCAGTGAAGGTAATTGAGCATTGACCTTCCTGGTGTAATCAAATTGGCATATGACATGAGAAGTCTCATCCTGGATACAGTGGAATAACAGAAAATAAAAGCATGACCTCGTCTTCACAATCATAAGAAAACTGCAGCTTAAATAGTTGGGATAAGAAATCTTTGATCTCCTACACAACAAGAAATCATCGTCAAGGTAACAGAGTATTGACTTTCCCGGATGAAAGATAATAAAGCCACTACTACAATGCATCAATTTACAAAATACACAGTGGTTAAACAACATTGCATATATAGTTTATAGAAGAGAGATTAGAAAACTGAGATGAAAATGTAATGAACCAAGGGATGAAGCGTGTGTTCATGGGAACAGGATTTTCTTCTAATGTGATACAAAACCCGGAATACAAGGCTGCTGACAAGGCACACAGGTGTGTCCCATGTGAATGTATGATTACATAGCAACTCTGATAAGAGTTAATACACTGTCTCTGTGGATGTACATCTCCCCTAGTTTTAAAGCAGCCCTTTGCAGACGTACGTCTCTCCTCATTTTGACATTGTTGTGTGCTCACTGTCATCATGATTTCCAACTGTTATGTCATGTGTTCATGGCTGATGGGTAGTAAGAGGCAATTATTAGGACTTAACCGCTGCTTTATCTAAGGATAAGAACAGCCAACAAACACTACAAGGTACGTAATTTTCCTTTACCCGTCATAGTCCCCTTAAAAGCCTACAGTTTCATATGCTGCAATGAAATTTAATTACTACATAATTATGAGAGCAAGATTGTAACACAGCCCTGTTTTGCAATCAATGCACTACAAGCCACTACATTAAATTGAAAAACATCCAGATCAGTTGCCACACAAACACAGAAGTTCTTACTAGGTTTGAAAAATGTAATTGTGAAAAAGAAGTAGTGCATCATTGGTATACAGTAAATTTATACAATTAGGACGTTAATATGTAATGGTTAGCATTTGTCTTTGAAACTCAAAACCTGTGCTGGCAAGATATTACTTTTAAAGACTTGCTTCAATTCTAGACATTTTTGTCAGCTGGATGGGAAACTGATGACAGAGACCATATAATAATAAAAATATCATGTATCAAATGAGGAAAACCTGTTATAACAGCAATAACAAACATCTCTGGCAGTTAACATTTCATAGGGCATGCACATACGCAGCATTTGATACCCATGTCGAAATGACTTTTCTGATACCAATAAATGCATGTGATGTCACATGGTCTATATTTATATCATGCAAATATCAGTTGTCTAGGTGTGCCATACACGTAGCATGTAACATTTTTTTTATTATTCCACCCCCTCTCGACACCATGCGTGTTTATAAGTCATCTCAAAGGTCATTTTAAAATCAGTATCCCATCTGAAAACACAAAAATATTGTCAATAATGCAGATCATGGCTCTGTAACTGATGTAGTTTTCAATTTTCAGACTGAGGTAGTTATAACTGTCCTTTGCCATCAATCTGAGTGTTCATGTCATGAGCAGACTAACACTGCCGTGTCAGATTGCAATTACAATCATGGCTTTCATACAAGGCATTTATTGATTTGCAGCGTGTTTCCCTCATAGTCCTCACAAGTCGTGTTGATAATTACTTTACCTGAATAGAAAAAGGATCATTTTTCTCCTCTACAGCAAAGAGGAATCATTGGATTTTTACAGAGAACTCATTAATCTCTCTCAACCTTTGTTAGAATGCATAGTGAATGCTAGTGTGATTGTGAAGGTGATTGAAAACAAAATTATATTTACAAATATCTCGCAATTTTATCAACCTCAAGTGATAATCATTGAAACGACCAATCAAGTTTCACAATTCTGGTCATGTGATGGATAAAATCAACTAACACTCATAAAGCATACCTAGAAATCCTCTAATCTTCATTAAATTTTTTTAGTAAACACATTTTGCCAAATTATGTACACAATGATATACAACAGATACATTCTGTATCTAATGCAGCAACACTAGATAAGCACAGTGCCTGCAATGACGCATTAAATTCAACAGATAAAACTAATCTGGTTTTCGTTAATTATCTTGCGTTAACTCTCCAGTGATTATGAGAATTCTAAGGAGAACACAGTGTAGCATATTTACAATGGTATAAGCTGCTGCTGATAACACTCCTTATCTTCAACTAATTAAAACATTCAATTATTAACTCATCTCTAATAATTGTTGAAATAATTAAATTCTAAAGACACTGCTTTCAGCGATAAATATTTCACTTTGGCTCAAAAGAATGTCAGGACACAATGCTGCTTTGTTGTATCGTCACAGTATGCCCACCTGCAGCGTCAATGACTACTGCTTTTGTTGCAGCGTCAATGACTACTGCTTTTGTTGCAGCGTCAATGACTACTGCTCTGTTGCAGCATCACTGCTTGCCGACCTGTGGTGTCAATGACTGCTCCTCTGTTGCATCGTCACTGCTTGCTGACCTGTGGTGTCAATGACTGCTCCTCTGTTGCATCGTCACTGCTTGCCGACCTGTGACGTCAATGACTGCTGCTCTGTTGCATCGTCACTGCTTGCCGACCTGTGACGTCAATGACTGCTGCTCTGTTGCATCGTCACTGCTTGCCGACCTGTGGCGTCAATGACTGCTGCTCTGTTGCAGCGTTGCATCATCACTGCTTTATTGTAATTTTATATTATTTGTAGTCATGTTATTTTATACCCTATTTATGCTTTTCTTTATTGTGTTCTCGTCATTTTTGCAGTGGTTTGTTTAATTCTATGTTAATTTTTATATTTATATGCTGTGCATGAAAAACCATTTATGGATGTACTGTTCTAAATGAATAACATTAAAATTACAAAATTGCTTGCCGACC